TAATTTTTGAAAAACTTTTAAAAATGTCACGCCAAAAGATATAACTAGAAGTTTTTAAAAAACTTTTTGAACAATACAAAAGCCAGAATGCAGGGACTTATGCGTGCCAAACATAGCCTAAATGACCATATTTCATTTATCAATTATAAAAAGTGTATATTGTAATTTTTTTGTAAATTGAGGTGTTAAAATAGTTCGACAATACATATGTAATGCTGCGTAAGAATGAGTATCAAATGTGGGCAGCACACAAGATTTTGGAGCATTATTTTGGCCTTGCCTGGTATAATGACTTTTTAATCCTGTTTTCGTGTAATTTGTCGTTAATTGTTTTTTCAATGCCCAAAGTTTGACGCTCTTTCAAGATTTCTTTGTGTGCGCTGAGCAGCTGATTTTTCATATCAAACAAAGACTGCTCCTTGCCGAGGCATGAAGTGAAGGAAAGGGTCAGCCTCGTTTCTCTGTGTTTCTCCTTTTAACCCTACATATCTGTTTGCATCTTTTTGTTAGATCTTAGCCGTCTCAGTTTTCTTGAAATTCGACAATTCATTGATCTATTCAATGATTAGCATCAATGAATTGAGTTGGGACTAAGGGCTGGTCATGATTATGATGATTTGTATTAATCCCAATATGAAATAAGCACTATCAATGCTCTGAATTTCGAGACAAATCTTGATAAAGTTCTCTGTGCTTGAAGTTTTGCAGGAAAGAAAGAGTTTTGTAGACTCTGTTTAGGTGCTTGAGAATTGTGTTTTTAAAGGGAAGGGTTTTATAGGGACGCTGAGCTTCAGATGGGCAGTTCGAAATTGGAGGGGACATCAACACCTGCTCTTAGGAGAGACCCCTACGAGGTGTTGTGTGTTTCAAGGGATTCTTCTGATCAGGAAATTAAGGCTGCTTATAGGAAACTTGCCCTCAAGTAAGTACTTCCTGTGTTTTTCTTCAGCCTATATATTTTATGTGGATTATAGTTAATTGTATTGGTTGGCAAGAATTTCTAGCCCACTGACCAAAATATTTAAGCTGAAACTTCCCTGTATAATTTGAAGTTTTATTGATAGTATTGATGCTAGTAATCAGGAACTAGATACTGTTGAAAGCTAAATTGTTATTTATGAACTATGGAACATATGGTTTTGAATGAAACATTCTAAATTGCTTGTCAGATACTACTCCCTCCGTCCCGTTAGAAGGTTCCCACTTTCCTTTTTTGGACGTACCATTAGAAGGTTCCCACTTCCGGTGCATACGACGATTCTTTCACCACGTGAGGTGTTAATTTACCTACTAAAACATCCCCCGGCTGTACCCCATTTTAGGAAACAATTAACAATCTTAAGTGACAAATTAATACATTTATCAAATACTAATTAAATATTAAAAATAATACATTTATAACATCACAATTATCAATACTAACTACATTATAATATATACCTATTAAAATTATTTCTCAAAATATACTCAAAGTACTTTATTTAATTATCACCAAAATAACCGTGCTGTTTTGCTATGGGAACCTTCTAACGGGACGGAGGTAGTAATATATATCTCAGTTTGTTTCGAAGTGAGAGTAGCATGTTCAAGTGATTCTTGAGGCTCAGAATTCTTGAATATGCAGCAGTTGATTTAATGTAAATTTGTAGACTCAATGTTACCTTTTCAGGGGATGGGAAGTACTATATATACCAATTTAGTTGGATTTGGAGTCATCATGTTTTCATAGTTTCTGGATCTGCTTTTATTTTTTAGTGTTTTAGTTTGTCTTGCCTCCTATGTCCTGAAATAAATGTGCTTGTTGATTGAATCACAGCCATACAACCACGCATACAAGGAATTAGGTATTGTCTGATAATGGTTGCAGGTATCATCCCGACAAGAATGCTAGTAACCCTGAAGCTTCAGAGCATTTCAAGGAGGTCGCATATTCATATAACATTTTATCGGATCCTGAGAAAAGGAGGCAATATGATATGTCTGGATTTGAGGTACCTTATTTCTTACGTTTCTCGTGTAAAGTTGTGTCTAGATAGTGCTTCAGTTGCACTACCTCAAGGTACACTTAGTCATATCAAACATTTATGTAGAGGCAGTGTAGTAAATTTCTCTTTTAGTGCAATCACACAATTCACAATCTTTTATATATGAAGTAGAGTGTCTAAACATACTCCATCCATGATCCATCACAAATTATATAAGCATTTGCTTTTAGCATGCTTTTGGATTTTTTTTAAAAGGAAAGCACTTCAAGTATAATTCACTTTAAAAAATCTCCCTGGTGGGTTCAGTAATCATATTGGCAATGAATTGGTGCAAGTAAAAAAATTGGGAATATATTGTCAAAAATAAAGCTGGATCTAACTTAAACCTAAAGTAGCTTTCATTGGGAGTACTGCACTAGTGCCTAACACTTATTATTCCGTAGCTTGTTTTAGACATGATGTGATTTAAAGATAGGTTTTTTTTCCTAAATATGATTACAAAAACCTATTAATCTTAGAATGACTAGAATAATTATCTCAACCAAAATCTCCCAATCCAAAAAGACCACTGCCCACTTGACCCATGGCCCACCGCCCACAGCTAACACACTCACTATCCACTGCCTTTGACTCAGTGCCAACCGCCTCTGATGCCATTGCGCACCATCGCCTCCTCCTTTACTGTCCATTTCCCAATGTCTCCAGCCAGCATCACTCTCTACTGCCCCGACTGTGGTGCCATAGTCATTGATTTTGCCTTCACAATCGTGAAAAGGAAATGAACCACCAAAGATCTATCGATAGCAGATTAGCAACCAGGCATCATTAGCCAACCCCTGCACTCCTGCAGTGGAGGCATACAAAAAGAGTAGATCTGGGAGAAACAGACAATGATCCGAAAACAGAAAATAACAACAAACATGAACTTCTTCAACCCACTGCCCAGACCGCCAGCTATAACATTACATCAAAGAGCATCTCTTAGGCAGCAAACACCGGATATGGAATGAACAAACAACAGAGAACATTGGCATTGGCTTTAAGCCTTCAACTATCCGACCACCCACGGCAACAACACGCCAGGTAACATGCATCAACTTCTATAGGAGGATGCTAGTGACTCTTTTGCGTCGGCATCAGTTGGGAGCCATAATGCTTGAGAGAGAGAGAGAAGGGGATGAAGGGGGTGATATAATTCTAAATAGGTTTAAGAGTATATTAGACTATTAATCCTTAAAAACATACTTATTACTATTATATTAGTAGTTAGTACTACATAGATCCTATTTGGAGAAGACGAGAGGGAAAATATTAAGCTTGTAGTCAATGTCTGATCAATTATTTAACTTTTTTATTCTCAACTCTCTCCCTCAAGCTGGAGCACGTGCAATTGTATCTCATATGCACCAAGTCTGCTTGAAATATTGTATACTCAACCCCATGACCTCTTAGACTCTTAAAGTTTTAGTATAATGTAATATATATGCCAAATTATCATTTGAGTACACATAAAGGTTATTATACCCTGAAGCTGCCTGACCTCAATCAAAATAACGATCAATCTTGCTATATTTTTATTCTCTCACGGACAACATCATTTAATGCTATATACGGCGCTACTTAATTGTCACATATGAGATTCTTTGATCCCATTATGAAAAATTTAAACAATTGAAAAAATGCTTCAACAATACAAGCTCACTGTTATGGACTCGTTTGCGGCAGGCTCAATTTTTAGCAGGTAGTGTGCTAGTATCAGCGTAGATCACTAGATCCATGGAGTGACTGAACCATGCATGGTTCCTTAGTTCATATATATCTCCTTTACATCATAATCTTTTGTAATGGAGTTGCGTTAGGATCTTGTGTCTTCATTGGGTTAGTATTCAAATTCTTCTAAGTGATGCATCATTATTAGTATGTAATCATTCCAGATATACTGATTTTGATCAGTAAACAAAACCCAGCAGACTTTGACAAGGATGCGCCACATCTTCTTCTCCATCACTGGTCAGTATAAGGGTTTTTGGATGCCAAGACCTTCTTATGGTGATACTTTCATGTCTGTGGACAAGGCCCTATACTTGCAACCTTAACAAACTTAGTATTAGCTTTGAGAACAATAGACGGAAGCTCTTCAGAAATGAATGCCAAATTCTCCAACGCCATGGAATTTGTCAGCATAATCACATAAATCTTTACAAACAACCAGTGATCACTGAGGCAGATCATATTGAAATGGAGGTTTTGCAGTCTAGTGGTCTTAGAAGACAGTTTCTCTTCCTCCAAGTATGTATACTGTTAGTTACATGTGGGTAGGTGGGTTTTATACGTTGAAAGTTGGACCTGATTGGAAGGTTGACCAACTCAAAGCTCGTTTGATCAGGATTATACTAATACCTTTTCCCATGTTGCCAAAATAGCATCTGCCCGCTTTGCTTATTTCAATGGCTGCCATGAGCCATTGGCGGTTATACTAACTAGATAGCACAAATGCTTTTCTTCATAGTGATCGTCACAAATGATATATTTGGAGGAACTTGCCGCAAATGCTTTTGACAATTTTTTTGGGAGAAAGTATTGTGCAATCTTTCAGGTTTCGACAAGGCCACTTCAATCCCAAATGAATTCCCATAAGCATTTTGTTCGAAAGTTCTTGACAAGATTATCCCTAAGTTGAGAGATCCTTTCATCATCATTCGCAGTATTCACAATGGCATCGACACATACCTGTCATAATGTTGAAACAGAGCAATGAACTTTGCGACTGGATCATCAGATAGAACTTCTAGTGTAGATTCTGAATATGTAGATTTTAATTGTTAATATTTTAATACTAAGATGTACATTAAATGGGAGGGGTTAATTTTATTATAAGTCAAACATCGATTTACTTACTATTAGTTGAACATCGTAAATCGAAGAACCTTGAAATGAGATGAATGAAGTAACATATATTAAAGCAAGTTGTTCAAGAGTATTTTCATGTTATATTATGATATAATGTTTGAGCAATTAATGTTCAAAGTTAAAAAACTTTTACTCAAAAGTCAAAATCAAAGTGGGAACTAGGGGTGGCAGCGGGTCGGATGTATACCGGGTGGAGGCTCATCCACGTCCACCCGTTAATATTTTATACTCCACCCACCCGTCCATCATCCATTAAAAACTACATCCACATCCAACCCACCCATCGTGGACGGGTTAGCGGGTGGATTGGGTGAGTAATGGGTGAATACAAATGTCAAACTTGAGACAAAATAAATAAATTATAAAGAGAAATCATTGACAAATAAAAACTCAAAATTAGGGGTGGGATCGGTCCGGTCTGGGTCGGGTTTTTGCTAAACCCGGAAATTACCCGGAAGGTCTCGGGTTATGAAAATTAGGGACCGGAACAAAGCCCATTACATTCGGTCCGAGTCGGGTTTTTGGTAGCCCGGGTTCGGGTTGGGCCGGTTAAAGCCCGACCGTGAAATATCTCATTGTTCTTTTATATTTTAACACCTATTTTCAAATAAAATTAATCAAAAATACAAACCGCAAATAATAACACAAATATTAGTTTCCAAAATCATCAACAATTCAAATCCAAAAAAGATAATTATCTTAATATATATTTAAGATGCATATAAATAAATAATATATGTTTCTAAAAAATATTACGAAATAAAATTTATAGATAAAAATGTGACTAGAGTTGCTATAAATATAATTTCATGGTCATTCCGCTAAACAAAATCGAACATATTTGTAATCACATAAAGTTACTAAATCATTTTTTTAATCCACCATGATTATAAGTCACTAAAAGTTACTAAATATTTATAAATTTATATTCATATATTATATTAATTTTATATTAAATCTAATTGTTTCGGGTTTTTATCGGTCCGGGCCGGGTTATAGATTTTAAGGCCCGTTAGTGAGCCCGGAATTTCGGGTTCGGTTCGGTTTTTTTATTTGGTCCGGTTTAAAAGAAAAAACCCGGACCGGGATCATAATTCGGGCCGGTCCAGGGTCGGTTTCCGGGTTTCGGTTCGGTTTTTCCCACCCCTACTCAAAATTAAGAATTCGTTGAAACATAACAACAAAAACTTCGCTGATGGCGCTGAAGTGCTGAACAGGATTATGCCATTAGGGATTTAGGGCTAAGGGCTTTAGGTATTTCAGTAATATTTATATGCTACATATACATATCTATTAACAGTACATATCTAACTATCTATTAACCTATTAATCTATTAATTATATTAATATTAACTACTATTATTATATATTATTAAATAATATACATATATACATACATATATATATATATATACACACACACACACACATACATATATATATGCGGGTCAGCGGGTGGGTGGATGGAGCGGGGGACGGGTCGGGTGATGGGTTGGATGAGTGTTCATCCACACCACCCTCTTTCAATCCACCCATCATCCATTTTTCATCCATCTTCTTCGGGTTTTCGTCCATATTTTCGGTTCAGGTTGAGCGGGTATCCGCGGGTGCGGGTGATATTGCCAGCCCTAGTTGGAACTTCATTTTGAGATGGAAGAAATATATATTTTATGGTAGAGTATACTACTATAGTACTAGTAAGTTGATACTCCCTCCGTCCCGAAATGAAGTTCCCATTTTGACCTACACACATATTCATGTAAGATTAAATTTTGTTTTGACTTTCCAAGTATACCCTTACTTTTATAGAAAGGGTAGTTGTCACTTTTTGCTTAGAAGTGGTTTCCTTTTATAGAAATGAGAACTTTTTGGGACATTTATAAAAGGAAAGTGGGAACTTCTTTTTGGGACGGAGGTAGTATAATATATTCGGTAATATATTACATTATTATATTCAAATATGAAATATCACATATGGGAGCTTGTTGCCTAGGTGATAAGGCGGTTCTCAGGCACCACGCCTTGCCACGGATACAATGTGGGTGCCTGTAGGCTTTAGTCTACTTCTTTTGGTTAGAGCTCTATCAAACTTTTGTGGAGGTGCAGCTGCAAAAATGAGCCTTTTCCAATGCAATATAAAATTATAAATGCATCCTATGCTTTTAACTACGACGGAGACCAATCTACTCAACACTAATAAAGTGAAGGAAAAAGAATAAACTAAGAAAGTACCCCGTAGTAATAGATTTACAGATTCTTAGCAATACTGATGTTATTCAATAACTTGATGCTACTTGGCTTGTACGTATTTGTTTGCAATAACTGAAAATGTCGATCTCCTTAACGTGTTTCTAACAACATCCTGGTCTAGTATTGTATGCTCTGTTGATTCTATTTTTCAATTGTTTCTTGGCTTGCAAAATATAAGGAATTTATGTTAGCTTTACTGATCGCTATGACTCGAACTACTCATTGTCATTTCCTGCTCAGTTTTACATTATCTTACTGTTTTATGTATGCTCTTATAGTAACTCCCCTAGGATCTTAATTTCCTAACTACTTTGGCTGTGCTTCTACCCTTAATGTATTAGGCTCTGGATGCCGATGGAATGGATATGGAAGTTGACCTATCCAACCTTGGTACTGTGAATACAATGTTTGCAGCACTGTTCAGGTAATCTTTTGTCATAGATCTTAAATCTGCAGTGCTCTTGATATTTATGGGTGACACATTTTTATTTTTGATAGCAAATTAGGTGTTCCTATCAAGACTACTATTTCGGCAAATGTTCTTGAAGAAGCTCTTAATGGTACTGTCACAATTAGGCCTTTGCCAATTGGTACATCATGCAGTGCGAAGGTAATGCACTCTTCTCTTTTTGCATGCTAACTAGATAAGTCAATGGTTGTTATGGCGGCAAGGCGAGGCGTGGCGCCAACCGACCGCCTTATCGCCTAGGCGACAACTAGGCAACATATTGCGGCATACATAGTATTTAAGTATTATAAAATAATATATTACGTAGTATAAATTATACGGAGTGTTATATTATATACTATGTATTAATGTATTACTTATATTTCAAGAGCTAAGTAAATCAAAACAAGAGTTTAATATCCATCTCAAATAAGTATCAACTATCAAGTATTAATAACATTTAAACTGTAAATTTTAATATCATCAAGAACTAAATCTGACAAGTTAAATTTTTAGGTAATATAAAGTACCTAAAGTAGGAAAAATTGACAGTAATAATCCCAACTATTGGCAGTCCGCTAATAATGATCCCAACTATCGATTATTTCAGAATAATCCCAACTTTAAGGACCTTCCGCCAATAATGGTCCCTATAAATAAATTCATGTAGTTTCTAAAGTGGATGAGAAGAGATATAGCAAGTAATCCCTATAAATAATCCCAACATTTAATTTTTACACTTAATTTCTATTTAAAATTCACTTATTATAGGAGTTAATATCTTGCCATGGACCATTATTGGCGGACGGTCCATATAGTTGGGATTATACAAAAATAATCAATATTTGGGATTATTGTCAGCGGACCGACAATAGTTAGGATTATTATTTTCAATTTTTCCTATAAAGTATTTAATATAAATAACACAAGAAATTCAGCTCTTTAAAAAAATCAGCTGTTAAAATAGAATATGTCCTGTAGTCCAAAACACAAGAAGGAAAGACGTAGTCGAACCCTCCAGCTGGAGTCAATTGACCCACAAAAATGAGAGAAACAAAGAGAGAAAAAGAATGGCTTAGTGGCAAAAATAAGGAGCTATCGGGCACAGCTGCAAAGTAAAAGTCCAGACTTTGATCTAAACATACCGAAGAACGAGGGCGGTGAAGAATTGCAGAGCAAGGAGTCTGCATCGGTGACAAGTGACGCAATCAGTGTTCGCAACCAGCGACAGCGACCTTTGTTGGCGACCCGCAACAGAGACCTGTGTTGGCGACCTGTGACAGCGACTTCAGGTGAGTCGATCAAGCATTGCGTGGCTGCCCCTTCGCCAGGACAGACTAGGTGACCATGACAACCATGGATAAGTCTTATCATTTTTCGGTTTTCTAGTTGCTTACAGTGTTCCAGAAGCGCTAGGCACCCATTGGCCATTGGGCACCAAGTGAGGCCTAATTAGACACCTGGCCTGCCTAAAAGCACTAAACCAGGGTTCTAGTATACAAGATTACAAGTCTACAAGAAGTACTTAGTTGAGTCATAGCTTCCTTAATAGTGAATTGGTCTAGAGATATTTAGTGGCTAAACTGATTCTTAAAATAGTGGTTGCTAAATACGTTCTCAAACAGGTAGAAAAGCAACAAGCACATTTTTTTGGTGTAACAATTAGTGAAGAACAAGCTGCAGCAGGGATTGTTGTTAGAGCAAGTTCAGCTGCTCAAAGCAAATTTAAGGTAAATAACTGTCTAACAAACATGATAATAAAGATCTTTTATGAGGTTTCATTTTTGTGTCTGTGCAATTGTGCATGCACACGATGTTACTTGCATCTGTTGCATTGTGATCCTAAAGCTGTATTTGGTATAATTTTCAGCTGCTTTATTTTGAACAAGATACAACCGGGGGTTATGGCTTAGCATTGCAGGTAAAGCATTTTTTAGATTTTAGTTCCTGTTTTAATTAGTACCACTTCAATCTTCGTAAATATATCTCTATCCCACACTTGCAGTGAATGCATTCATCTGTTCTTAACATGAACTGATCTTTTTTGCCATTTTGTCTGAGAAATAAAATGTTGCTGCAAAGCAAAACTGCAAAAAGGAAGTACTTTAACTTTTTACTAAAAATTAAATTTCAGAAGTTGATGTACTCATGATAACACTACTGCTTTGTTTTGCTGATCTTTTTAATGTCACAATATCACTTTAGTCGTAAACTTGTAATCTGTGATGTGGCAGTGTCAAATAACTTTGCTTTAGAAATGCGGCTGTGTTCATAGATTTAAACATGCAAGATTTAAAATGCTTAGGTCAGTAGGTCTCTAGTGTTTGTGCACTGAAAGTTGTCACATGCTATCCTCTATATCTGAGATCACTTTTATATTTGATTCTTAGAGATATGTTTTCATCCTAGAACTAAGATATAGAGGATAATGCAGTATATGTTTTCAAGTTCCTTTTCATGTATATCCTGTACTGTTGCACTTTAGTAGTTAAAAACTTAAAAGTTAAAACTAAAGAGTTATCATTCCTTAATCTGGTTAGTATTTGCTGTGCAAAATTATTTTCATGGCTTCCAAGCATATAATCCCAAAATTGATGGGGTCGTGCAAAATCCCCTGTTTTATCCATATGAGTTAACTTATATAAGAATATATACCACTCACGCATAAGTGCAACCTTTAAAATGTGGGGAGAAGCTAAAATCAGCATTGCTTCGGCACAATGGCAAAATATCACCGAACTATCCCATTGAAAAGGCAATTGCTAATAATTTTGATGAAAGAGTGTCACCTAAATTTCAAGAAATATATACTACGATTGCATCTAAAGCTACAAAGTTCAATGATTTTATAACGGCATATCTGGTTGGTTAATGGTAGAGTGAAAATCATTTAATAAAGCCATATGGTGGGATAAAGTTAGAGTTCAGTCTTCGGGACCTATGTTTGAAATTGCGTGATGCCATAGCACCTTGAGGTGTGCCACAGACTTTTTTAACACTATTGTGCCGTGAGGCTATATGGCTATACTCTATGCTGAAATGTAGGGGTGGGTAATTCGGTTTACGGTTCGGTTTTCTTCGGTTTCGGTTTGGTTTATTCGGGTTGGGAGAATTTGTACCAAACTAAAACCATTTGTGTTTCGGTTTGGTTTTGGTTTGGTTTCGGTTCGGTTCGGTTTACCAAAGTAAAAAATATTATGTTTAATTTAGCTTGGTTTGATTCGTTTGCTTATGTTTATTATTTTCTTTGATCAAGTTCTATATATATTTTAGAATTAGAAAATGAAAGTAGTAGTCCATCTCATCTTTTATTAATTTATTGATTATTTAAATAAAATGTAAAAGGAAATAAAAGGTAGAAAAATAAATAACAAAATATTATAAATCAAAACTTCTAACATCTTTTTTTTCACTACGAAAAATTCACTTCTTACAAAAAATAAGATAGTTGATTAGCATTTATAATATCACATAAAATATTCAAAAAATCTAAAAGAGTCGGTGGTACAAATGTTGTAATATTCACAATTTTATTCAAATGAATCATGTATTAATATAAATGCAATTTGTTATTGTTATCGCGAAACATAATAAATACTCCTTACAAATATGTCGTATTAGCTAACTTTGTCATACTGAATGTATGAAATGTGTAAAAATTAAAATGATATGAGTATATGCTTAAATATGTATTTTCATGTCTAAATGATTTATTTATATCTTAAAAATGAAGAGTGAAGATAAATACAAAGTGTATATGTGTGTGTGTGTGTGTTGTTTGGTGTTCGGTTCAGTTTACGATTTTTCCGTTTTAAACCAAAGTACCAAACCATTCGGTTTGAGCAAATGTTTACCAAACGGTTTACTTAAGTAAACCCAAACCAAACCAAATCAAACCACCAATTTTAATAATATATGAAAGTTTTTTTGAGTTTCTTAGTTCGGTTCGGTTTTGTTCGGTTTTTATCGGTTTCGGTTTGGTTCGGTTCGGTTTAATTCGGTTTGAAAGAAATAGTACCAAACTCAAACCAAATTGCATACGGTTCGGTTTCGGTTTGGTTTAGTTCGGTTTGGTACGGTTCGGTTCGGTTAAACCAAACCGCCCACCCCTACTGAAATGGGTGAGGCTGATGCACTACATTATAAGATGTCGAAAAGATAGAAAAACAGTCACGTAGAAAGTTGTGGAGATGGATAGCTTATTAATTTGTTTTTTTTTTTAAATTTTAGTTTGATTTTAATACCGTCATAAACTTAACCTGTTTTAGGATGTGATTGGGTTGTCATTCTTCCTTTTCTTCTTTTAGGTATTTCTATGCATACAATACCTATTATTAAGGGGGAGCTTTATATTGCTAATAATATACAGAGTACCCAAGAAATAATCAAGAAGAGATCAAGGAGAATGAAACTCCTTAAAAGTCAATTGCAATAAGTCAATTGCAATTGACGCTTAGTGTCCCATTACATGAATTTTTTGTTCTGTTGCTGGCCTCATGGGAAGCTCTACGCTTACTGATCATCAGAAATTTCGAACACGCTCCTATCAGATGTACAGAATGAGCTACACAACTTGACTAGCCAAGGGCATATTCACAAGCTGTGCATGCATTAAAAGCGACAATTTAATGTGCACTTGCAAAATGACAAAAAAAATCCTAGGAAAATTAGGATTTCAAACTTTCAACTATTGAAACAAGGTTATCACTTATCACTTTGAGGGATCAAATGGGGTGATAGTGTGAGTGTGACCATAGTCACATAGTTCGTGGAACTCTTCGGTACGTGAACGAGGATCGGGAACGTGGTTCGGTAGATCTTGCGTATCCGGTTCGGAGGGGGTTAGGTTCATTCCGGTATGCGTTTGGTACGCTGTACAACATGTTTGGTAAATCGGTACACTGTATCTTATATATTGGTACTAAAATAAAACTGAATTTCAGATTTCATAAGTCATAACATTAATAAAAAGCAGATTTCATAATCATAAGTCATAACATAACATTAAGCAAAATAAAATAAACATTAATATTCCAGAAGAAGTCGCTGAAATTAAGAGTTAAAGACAAGTGAAGAGTTCGTAACTTTGATTACCCGGAGCAGAAATCGAAGAGGCTAAGTCGAAGAGGCTAAATCGAATAGGCTAAGTCGCACAGGTTATCTGCACAGCAAACGATGAGTCTGTTCGCGATTGGTAGGTCTGCGATTGTTAATGTTTGGAGTTCGCGATTTAGTGCGTTCTGGATGGAGTCGCGGTCGAGACCAGTTGCAACTGGGAACGACCTGGGCAGGGATGGCGAACGACTAGAGCAGTGATTGGGATCGACCGGTGAAGCGTTCTACACTGCGATCCGATTAGCGTTTGGAACGCTTTCGTACCGTGATTAGGTACGCGGCATTCGGAACGCAGTTCGCGGGTGTTTGAGCGATTTATGTATCTATGAGTGTGACACATATAACTAAGAGCTATTGGGGGACTCAGTGTAGTCAAAAGCGCACCAGGCGAGGCGCTGAACATGGGTAGCGCTTTATAATCCTCCAGGTACAATGATATGCCTCAGGCACAAGAAGAGCAGAAGCGCATGCCTATCACACAATAAGATTAGGGCCTATTTTAAATAAACCTATATATATTACTACTGTATGGAGTAAGATTTAGCTTATCCAAATAACAGAGTAAAACAACATAAACCCCGCGTTCGACTCACATCCCACATAAATGGTAACTTCCTCATTATGTTTCTTCTTTCTGTCTTCATCTTCTTGTTCTATTCAATTCTTAATTTTATCTTATTTCCTGTATTTTCTATCCTTACAGTATGGTCTATTTCTTCTTGCTTTATTTGTATCTTTTCATTTAAAATTCAATATCTTTATTTCCTATTTTCTGTCATTACCTTCGTCTGATTTATTATTCTCCCAACAAGTTCTTTCCTTTTATTTTTGTTTCTTTTTTCTAATATGTTGTATATTTTAAGAACATGTATTCTTCTCTCAAGTTTTATTATTTATTTATTTATTTATTTATTTATTTATTTATTTATTTATTTATTTATTTATTTATTTATTTATTTATTTATTTATTTATTTATTTATTTATTTATTTATTTATTTATTTATTTATTTATTTATTTATTTATTTATTTATTTATTTATTTATTTATTATTTATTTATTTATTTATTTATTTATTTATTTATTTATTTATTTATTTATTTATTTATTTATTTATTTATTTATTTATTTATTTATTTATTTATTTATTTATTTATTTATTTATTTATTTATTTATTTATTTATTTATTTATTTATTTATTTATTTATTTATTTATTTATTTATTTATTTATTTATTTATTTATTTATTTATTTATTTATTTATTTATTTATTTATTTATTTATTTATTTATTTATTTATTTATTTATTTATTTATTTATTTATTTATTTATTTATTTATTTATTTATTTATTTATTTATTTATTTATTTATTTATTTATTTATTTATTTATTTATTTATTTATTTATTTATTTATTTATTTATTTATTTATTTATTTATTTATTTATTTATTTATTTATTTATTTATTTATTTATTTATTTATTTATTTATTTATTTATTTATTTATTTATTTATTTATTTATTTATTTATTTAATTATTTATTTATTTATTTATTTATTTATTTATTTATTTATTTATTTATTTATTTATTTATTTATTTATTTATTTATTTATTTATTTATTTATTTATTTATTTATTTATTTATTTATTTATTTATTTATTTATTTATTTATTTATTTATTTATTTATTTATTTATTTATTTATTTATTTATTTATTTATTTATTTATTTATTTATTTATTTATTTATTTATTTATTTATTTATTTATTTATTTATTTATTTATTTATTTATTTATTTATTTATTTATTTATTTATTTATTTATTTATTTATTTATTTATTTATTTATTTATTTATTTATTTATTTATTTATTTTGTAGTATATGGAAGGTGAAACTTCAAATGTTGCGAAGAAAGCTGAAAGTAATATTGCTAATAGAATATGGTCTCCTCTTTTAGCTGAACTAAGCTAGAAGCCTAGAATATACGGAGTAACTAAATTTAGGATTTAGTTTTAAGGATGATTGATGAATATGACTTCTTTAATGAATTTAGTTCAATATAATATTGAATATATATCATATTTGCTAAGCAGTGCGGTTGACATGAGTCAGGTGAGCGTTTTTTACGCCTTGCGCCTAGGCAATATGACTATTCTAGCACCTTGAGTGCGCCTCACAAATTTGACTACCTTAGGGAGGACTTAAGTGTCATTTTCTGTTTGTATCATAATCACCAATTTATACACCTCCATCAAAATGATTGGTTCGTATAACGAAGCTTTTCTCCGTTTAATTCCAATTTCCCATTTAATTTAGTATTAGTAAATATAATCTACTATATACGTCGTATTCAAGTATTAAGGCTCTGTAAAAATAGGGTAATTTGGCGCTATTTAATCAGTATTCTTTTCCAAGAAAATAAGGCAATAAAGAAGTCAAGAAGATGCAGTTTGACGTTTATGTGACATCCATTTTGGGATTGGCGGAGAGTAGTATAGGGCTAGATAGTATCATAGATTCATAGTAAGATACCTTTGGGTTTGGAGCCTGGGAAATTGAACATTAAGCTCATAGCCGCACTTACTTCATTGTAATCTGTTAAAATCCACACACAATTTCATCTCCTCAACAAATGCTGTCCAATAGGAATTTACTGGAATATCACTGAAGGAAGTGATTTAAGCATTGCAGATTAAAACTAAAACTAAATGGATTAGAAGTGTTAAGCACCTACATGATATGTAGAATACAATAACATCCAAGCCTTGTTCCCAAAAGAGGTTGGGGTTGGCTTCCAAGAACCGACATATTATATTGAAGTTTAAAATATGCATTACATAAAGGAAAGGGGGACAAATCAATTCTCCATATATACTCCCTCAAATTCTCCCTCTCCAAATCTCATCTAACCAAATAGTATCATGTCATTCTTGACCACTTTAATTTACGTCTATCTGGGGACTCTTCCCTTTCTCTTCTCCCCACCTCTCAATCCGTCTAACCGATGCATCACTTTGCCTTATGTACACACGACCACACCACCGCAACTAAGACTCAAATGCTATCTTCAATAGGCGCTACTCCCACTTTTTTGTGTTATTGTCTCATTCCTCAAACAGTCCTTCCTAGTATGCCAACACATACAACTCATGATGTGTAGAGTAAAAGGGCATAAATTGGAAAGTAGAAACCTCTAGGTACTGATTAGTATGTCATGACTTTGCCATGTGAGTTACTTGAAAATTTAAAAGCTCGTATTCAGTGGATTATGAATGAATATCATAATAGCTGAATGAAGAAAAGAAAAACTGTTGCGGTATGCATAATGTAGAACTTAACAAAATCTGAATTGTATTATGGGTGAACAGTTGATGCTGAATTTATGTGTTCTTTGAAAATATTGATTACTCCTCATTTTTTTTTCAAATAAATAAATAACAGGTATCTTTGTGGTAAATTTCTATCTCTAATGCTTTATGAGGCATGCTTCACTTAGCCCATTATTGGCATTGACGTCTGGGCTTCGTTAATCTGATTCATAGTCAATAAACACAGGAAGACAGTGAAAAAACTGGCAAGACAACATCGGCTGGAATGTATTTTTTGCATTTTCAGGTTTATAGGATGGATTCAACAGTAAATGCGGTATGCATCATTTTTTCCTGATTAATATTGATTGAAAACAACTTCGGGGGGGGGGGGGGGGGGATTTCGTTATCGTAACTATAAGCATCTTTTGTAGCTAGCAATGGCCAAGGATCCAGATGCTGCTTTTTTTAAGAGATTGGAAGGTCTTCAACCTTGTGAGGTCTCAGAATTAAAAGCTGGCACTCACATATTCGCTGTTTATGGTCCGAGCTGCTTGTTTCTTCTATTTCCCCCTTTCGTATATTGGGATTCCTTTTTTTTACCAACTCTATAAGGATTAATTGGTGTAGTGTTGCTAAAGCTAAACTTTTGTAATGCTACAGGAGATAACTTCTTCAAACCTGCTACATATACAATTGAGGCTCTTTGTGCTAAAACATATGAGGATACAACCAGCAAGCTGAAGGATATTGAATCTCAGATTTTGGGGAAGAGAAATGAGCTTCGACAATTTGAGACTGAATACAGAAAGGCAGACCATCTCTTCTAAATTGTACTTATGCTCCCCCGCACATACATACTCTAAGAGAACATTTTCTCAATTTGACTTTGCAGGCATTGGCACGATTCCAGGAAGTGACCAACAGATATGCACAGGAGAAGCAGGCAGTAAGTTTTATCACTTTGTCTAACACCCCTGTAAAACCTTTCCCAAGGACTTCCTTTTTATTATATTTATTAATGTTATACTCCCTAGTTCCTACCATGCAAGAACACCCATTTTTTGAACACCATGCTGTCAACAGTGTCAAGGAAAAGAGGCCATGAACAACTTAGCATTGAAATTTGAAACCCATTTTTTTGAATTCTTGCATAATTTGCAAATAACCTGTGCTTGAATTAGTCGTACTCACTTGCCCTTATGATTAAATATTTTGTTATTTCTCTCAGACATGTTTATGACTGCTATTGCAATTATTCTGTCAGGTGGATGAATTGATGAAACAGCGAGACACCATCCATTCATCATTCACTGTTGCAAGGTCGGTCATTAGCAGTGGAAGTAGTGGGCATTTTAATAATGGAAGCACCAGCAGCAACAAAGTTCTTGGTGATGATTCTAGAGCTGAGTACCCAGGGGATGATGGAACCCCTGAATCCAAGGACAAATCTTCCAAGAAAAAGTGGTTTAATCTTAATCTAAAAGGATCAGATAAGAAGGCTACTTGACGAGTGGGACACTTGTAGTCTCATCTGGGTTTAACAGTTTTGGATCATCTTGCACAGATCAAAGCTTGTATCATTGCAATCATGTATTTTTTTGTTCATTTTTCCCTATATATACACATACTAATATATGTATCCTAAAGGACTGAATTATTACAGTATATTGATGGTTTTCATGTAATGTGTTCTTGCATTTTATCATAATCATCATGCCATTTCAACTTCCAAGTTGGTTTAATAGGATTAGAAAGTGTCTAATGGGGGTTTGTAACTTTGTATCCTTTTTTTGGTCAAATTATGTATTATTATTAGGAAAAATTGATAAAAATAATCCCACCTTTCACTGGTCTTCTCATAACAATCCCACCTTTAAATAATCCCAAAATAATCCCACTTTTGCACCTCATCTTCTTTCATTGGATCCTTTTTTTGAAAATCTTATATAAATAATCTCACCTTTGTAGATCATCAATAGGTCAGGGTCCAATGAAAAAAGGTGAGGTGCAAAGGTGAGATTATTCTTGGATTACGTAAAGGTGGGATTATTATGAGAAGACCAGTGAAAGGTGGGATTATTCTTGTTAATTTTTCCTTATTATTATTATTATTACAATATATTTATAAGTTATAACTAGATTTTTTTTACATTTGCATAAGATGGTCAATGGCCAATGACCCAAATCACCCAATAGATGATGATGATCACTCATCAGTTACATATTAGCATTTAGATTACCATTTAAGGTTGCTTGTATTTATCATGAAGTAAGCTTTTTTATCTCTTTAAAATTGATGACTTCATCAGAACATTGTATTTTGTGTTCCATATTCTTCATCGAACATGGTAAAAATTCTTCATTGGAACACACATTCGTTTTTATGTATGGGGCACGGGAGACTAGTGAAGGACTCTTAACGTAGTGATGTAACTGGAAGTGATAATACCCAGTTGAGGAGGAAATCTAGTTTAACTCTCCCATAAAGGCAGTTTTAGCTTATATAGATACTATTTTTAATGCTTGAATCAAGCACATGAATTTTCATTTCATACATGAAAAAAGTTTATGAGTGTGCTATTAGGCTACAAGCGTTTAGTTTTATATTTAAGCGACTTATTCGCATTCATTTTCACTTTTTCAGTGAGCCTGTGACAAGCTTCAAGTCGCCTCATATCCCTAAGTTGGGGGTAGCTCGTGATTTTTTGTGTTGAATTTGATATCATGTAGTATATCACCTGGAGATTGAAGTAGTTAGTTCTTGCGTTTGCTTCATATTTTTTGTATATTTTTGTTTAATACCATGTTTCCCTAACATGTTCTTAGTCGCCAACATGAACACTAGTAACCTATTTTGTCGACATGTTTCAAGTTACCCAAATCCGACAAGAACCTTTATATTATTAAGTAATTTCTTTGTGGGAATAACAATTTTTCAGTCCAGCTCAATTGTCTCTTAGCTTTGGCTACACTACTGCGTGTGCATGAGTGTGTCTACAACGACTAAAAAGTAATTAGTCAAATATAATGTATAAGTTGTCTGAGAATGAATACACTACCATATTTATTGAACTCGAATCTAACTCTTTGTCTCCATTGTTTATGTGTAATAACCTTAGCACCACATTTGTCCATGCTAATCTGTTATTTCATTTAAGAAAGAAACATTAAGCATTTAAGCACTTGCTCATTTTGAAGGAGGCATTTAACTCTAATTTCAGCATTTCATTCCACTCTTCCCGTACCCCATCTCACTCGCTTTCCAAAACCTCATACATTTTCGTACCCCCTAATTTCAGCACTAAAAGCCGTTCTTCACTCTGAATCCAACTATGGGCTCTAATTTACGAAGGATTTGTCAAAGTTGGGTTTAGTTTTTCATCGATTTATCGCATGAGATTGCTTCTTCTCTGATTTCTCCGACCTTGGAGCCGCATCTTCAAAGCCTTCTCTCCCCCACTGCCACCTCTCCTCGCCGCCGCCGCCGCCTACACGAGTACCACAATGTCCTAATCAATTATGCCAAAGGGAAACTGAAATAGCAGAAAGGGAAACAGATGGAGGTGCAGGCTGGCGAACGGGATAGACACCAATATCATTGAATGCTCGAAGTAGAACCGCCCTCGTTGTTTTGTCCTTTACAGAAAAATAGTTTTTATCAAAAGTTACAACACAGTTGTTATCGACACATAATTTTTGAATGGATAAAAGATTATATTTAATATTACGAACATGAAAAACAAATGTTAGGTGAAGAGGGTGAGGAGAGGAACTCAAAATGGCCTGACCAGTATGCATAACAGGGAGAGAGGTACCATCAGCTACTATAAATCTATAATCGAATGAGAATTAGGAGAAAAGGTTTTATGAGACAAAATACCCGGATGAGGATTCATATGGGCAGAGGCACCTGAGTCAGGATACCACACAATGTCAGAAGCTTCAGGAGCCTGAGCAGCAAGAGCAGGTGCAACCGACTGAACAAAACGAGACGGACAAGTAGAGGCGGGATGACCTGAAGCATAACAAATCTGACAGACTACTGGAGGGGGGACAAAGTTCCCTTCAACATATGAAGAGCCTGCATAACTGTGGTTAGTACAAGAAGCCGATAAGGCATAAATATAAACATTTGACTGAATAGACATACCTGTCGAGATTGGAGCCCCGAGAATACCCGCATGAGGCGCACCCCCTGGAACATAGTGTGGAGGAGGGTAGCCATAACCCATCTGTGGAGGATAACCATAACCGTGCTGAGGTGGTCCATAGCCGCGATCACGCTGTCATCAGCCCCCTATGTTGAGGATAACCATGTCCGTGGCCACCCCGACCGCGATATCCTCTCCCGCGGTGCTGCTAGCCGCCTTGTGGAGGTAGCTGCCCTACAGCCTGTGCTTGACCCGCAAATGCTTGAGCCTCATGAGGTTCTTCCAGAGAACACATGTACTGAATAGTTTGCTCCTTTTCAATCAAGCAGGTGCGTAGTTTTTCAAAAGTGAAGCTCTCCGGAAACAGACCAACCGATGTAATAAGAGACTCGTAATCTCGGCCCACACCAAGTAAAATAGTTTGAAACAGTTCACGAGGAGAAATAGGAACATTAATCGAAGCTATGTTATCAACAATAATTCTAATGTCTCTAAGATAACGCTCAATAGACTAAGTAGGAGCCTTCCTAGAGTGGGTCAGCTGACGTTTCAATTCCATGGATCAGGCAAGACTAGCAGACATAGAGTGAGACTCTAACCGACTCCAAATAGCAGAAGCATTCCTTAATTCATGCACCTCAATTAAGACATCACGAGACCGTGTAGCAAATAGCCAATAACGCACCGTTTGATCAAGTTTTAGCCAATTACAATAATCAGGATTAATTGTCTCATGATGAAAGACATAAAAAATATAGGGAGGAAGAGCAGGAATCGAACCATCTAAAATACCCAAAAAACCATTGGAGACCAGGAAAGACTCAAATTGAGTATGCCAAGACAAATAATCCTCTACAACAGCCAGTTTGGTTGTCACAGTATTGGTAATATTAAGGGAAGAAAACCAACGTTCTTATCTAAATCAGTCAAAATTGAACTTGTACTGGAAGTGGTAGTCCTCGGAGCTATTGGATCAGGAGAAGACAGAGGCGTAATACCTGGGGCCTTGGCAAACGTTGGGCCGACAAAATTGGAAGTAGACTCAGTATACAAAGAGAGTCTTCTTCCGTTGGAGAGCACGAGCTGCACTGGCGGACAGACAGAAGGAGGTGTCGGAGTCTAGGCGGTCGTTGTGGTCTTTCATCGACCGGGGCGGCGACAATGTCTATTGACTGTGGCAACGACGACACTCATTGTCCGGAGTAGCCACTTATTGGTGGAGTCATCGGTGGCGGCGGTTGCTAGTGACTAGGGGATCACTAATTGGTGGATTCAATAATGCAACATTCAGAGACTAGGCGGTCACTAAATTGGTGGAGTCACTCCCAGCTAGCAGTGACAACGGTGGCGACAATCATTGGTCAAGGCGGTCACTAATTGGTGGAGTCACAGTTGCGGCGGTGGTCACTAATTGGTGGAGTCACTCCTGACGAGCAGTGACTGTGGTGGCGGCAGTCACTGATCAGGGCGGTCACTAATTGATGGATTCACTATTGCGGTGGCAGTGATGGCGGCAAAGGTGATGGCTACGACGATCATTAGATTGGCTAGAAGGCATTAATTAATTACTCCTTATAAAAATGGCATATCATATTAATAATAAATGTAATATTAAATAGGGAAAAATACATAAAATGTATCTGTGGTTTGAGCCATTTTCAGATAGGGGCATGTGTTTCATTTTCTAACAAAGTGGGGCATGTGTTTCAATTCCGTTATCATAGCAGGGGCATGGCATCTAACGCCGTTAGAAAACTTAACCCCAATTTTAAAAAGTCTCCGAAAAATTAAAAGAAAAATACTGGGAGGTGTGCCTCGTCAAGGAGATCAACAAACTATCTTTATTTTTTTTGTTTCCAGACACCATATCTCCAGAAAGTCCACTAGAAAATTGATATTAGCGAATTTGTTTTTTAAAAAATTTTCCAAATAGAGCCGAAAAATCCAAAGATAAAGATAGTTTGTTGATCTCCTTGACGAGGTGCACCTCCCAATATTTTTCTTTTAATTTTTCGGAGACTTTTTAAAATTGGAGTTAATTTTTCTAACGGCGTTAGACGCCATGCCCCTGCTATGATAACGGAATTGAAACACATACCTCACTTTGTTAGAAAATGAAACACATGCCCCTATCTGAAAATGGACCAAACCACATGTACATTTTCTGTACTTTTCCCTATTAAATAAGGTAACAAATTATATGGTAAGTCATATTCCGTATGCTTGAAAATTTTCAAAACAAGTCACTTTTTTTGTCATTTGTTTGAAACTATTTTAATAATATTGATAAAAAAACCTTTTATATTTGAGAATTAGTTAACACAAGCAACTCCATGTTCAACCTATCTCCTATGCGCAAACAATTTTCACCCTTATTTATTTGGCATTTACCCTTTTGTATTTCATTGGCTTATTTTTTAGGTCTTAGTAATAAATATGTACGGAGTAGTTGAAACTCTTTAGCTATAAATATGTGAATGATAAATAAGAGATGAAATACAAATTGCTCATAATTTATAAACTACAAATTGATCTTGATAATTCGTTGAATTGATCTAAATGCTGGGTTCGCACAATGACGTTTGGT